GGCAACTCCCTCCCACAATACATTGAAACATAACGAGTCAGAGCTTGGTCCGCTTCTCGCATATCCCAATTTCTTTACACAGACTTCATAGGATCAACCAACTGCATCTATATTAACACTTCCATTGTGCTGTGCATTAGTAAATCAGGTTAGAGAATCAAAGTTTTCCTGCACTTCAATCAGGATAATGGATTGTTACTAATTACTTGTATTTCAGTAATATCTAAGGACCTCAATCTTGGTCCAGGACTCAAATGTGCTGAGCAGAGTAAAAACACAGAACAAAAAGACAGTCCTTGCTCCAAAGAGTTTATAATCTAAGTCCTCAGAGCTTATCTACACAGGGACACTCAAAAAGATGAATCTGAACTAACTGTAAAGTGAATTAATTAAAACACATGACTTTAGCATGGATGCTATTATACAGAATTAAATTGGACTTAATCTAATTTATTTTTTATTAAAAAATGAATTAAAGCACCTCAAATTAAAAATCACTTGATTTCAGAATGAGGACACACAGAGGTATAATGGAGTTTAACCAAGCCACTGTAAATCACACCTTTAGTTACTTCAAGTTAACTTTCCTGAGTGGCCTGTATAGACAAACCTGAAATTAGGATTCCAGTTCTTTTGTTAAATCAAACATTTTCCCCCCCCCCCCCAAATTAAGGTAATTAAGAAATTGCCTAACTTGAAACATATGCATAAATCACTGGCATTTGCCTAAATACAATGGAAGCCTAAATTCAGGTCCTAGCAACACCATTTAATTGGCGGACTTAAACCTCAAATTAATAAAGCTTCTCTCTCATCTGATTGAGCTGATTTTTTTAAATCATATTTTCCTTAGCTCTGACTACGATAGTGATGGCGTCTGACACTTTTAGGAGAGTTTTAACAAAAGCCTGAATTAGGTAGACAGAGGAGCGGCTTGAAGCTGACTTACAATAAGAGCCATGTGTATTGTTATCTGCCAGCCAGATAACATGGAAACATCTAAAAAGGGTTTCTGACTACTAGTTTAGGCCCAAAATTGAACACAGAGTAAACTCTCCAATTAGGGGGAATTCATACCCACCAAGATATCATTTTTGCAGGGCCATATCAAAATGATATGTGAACTCAAACTCCCCTAGCATCTCTGAAGGAGCAGTCTAAAACCTTTCCTACCACCAGTGTGAGGCTAAAGCAACCAGCAGTGCTTGTATAGAAGTAAATTACAAGTTTGTGCTAATTTTAGTTCCAGGAGAAACAGGGAGAGGGAGAAACTAGAGATGGAATGCCCTGTCAGAAAAAGCCATTGTGAGTAAATGGAAATGTTTTACAAAATGGTATCGATTGTGAAGACATTTTATTTCAGAAAAGCTTTGAAATAAGTTTTGGGGGGAAAACTCAAATCATTCTGGTTTGACATTTTTAGCGGGAAAAGTTTTGATGGTTTCAAAACTTCTTGTATTGTATTTATGCAAAATTAAAAATAAAAAAAGGCTGAAACCAGAAATGAAACGTTTAATGCATGGATTCCAAGGCCAGAAAGGACCACTGTGACCCTCTCGTCTGTCCTACTTAGCACAAGGCAAAGAACGTCTCACAAAGAGGTCCTGGAATAGTAGTGGGCAACCTGCATCCAAAGAGCCTCATGCGGCCCGTGGAGGTGCTATGTGTGGCCCACACGACATTTTGTTCATGGTTGCCCATGCACAGGGCTGCAGCTTCCACTGGTTTTCATCCACATTGTTTTCCCCCCCTACAAACGTGCCACACACTTAAAGCCAGGGCACATGAAGTGCAGTGCATGCTGATTGCACACAACATGGACTCTGAGAACCATGTGCTTTCTCTGAACCAATGAAAGCGCTGCTACAGTTCTGTCGGCACACCTGCAAATTCTAGGTACGCAAGAGCAGATGGCAAACCACCCTTTCCCGGGCGGCCATCTTGGTACAACAATCTTGCGACCCACTCAGATGAAGGAGGGCCACTCATGCTCCTGACTCTCTAGCCTAGTCTGCCCCTCACTGTCCTACAGCAGATCTTTTAGGGGAGAAAAAATGTATCCACTAATTGACCTGAACCACCAATTTTTTTCCAGAAACTTTTGTACAAACTCAACATAAATGAGAGCAAATCTCAAATTCTTTTGTAGGTTCAATAATCCCTTTCCTGACCCACTCTAGAAGCTAACTTAAAGGAGAGCTCTAAAACCCTCTCTGACCAGCAGAAGTTGGTCTGATAAATAGAACCACATCTGTCTTGTCAGCACTAGAAGAGACAAAGAGAAGAGAACAATTTCCCCTCGAAATATTTCCCTTAAAAAACTACTGTATAAACTGGGACAATAAATTATTAATTGTTTATTATTAATTGTTGTTGTTGTTGTTTATGTACACTTTTATGCTTTAAAAGTTCTTTCAGGGATACAAAATTCTACTGGTCTAATAATTTTCCCTTTTTCCTGTAAGGGGGAATTTCTTTGGATTTGGTTGTCTCCAATCGAACTAAAGAAACCTCTTAAGAGTGATCAGAAGGAAGTCAGTTGCTTTGAAGACACAGGGCTGATTTGTGAAAGAGCTCAGGGCCCATCAAGAGGCCAGATTTTCAGTACATGTTGAGACTACATTCTGGGGAAGAGCTGTTCTCAATGGGAAGGGGAGTTGTTGAGTCCTTCACGTGATGAGCACTTAAGAGTCTCAGCCCTCCAGAGCTATCCCACAATTCCACCAGGGTTGTATATTAGTGTCTGACTCCTCCCCATTTCTGCAGTGCATTTGAACTCAACCTCTGCCTGCTCAAAGGCAGCGTATGGAGATACCGTCTAAGAAATCCTCCTGCCAGCCTGTTATCTGCTGTTCAGAAGCTCCCACCGGTGGTGTAAAGACCCTCTTCTAACTTTGGCAGACAGGAATGACGTGGAGAGGTAGGGAATTAGGTTGAGCATGCTACGGTGTTCTGTAGGGTTTGCAAAAGCAATCCCTTAAAGACATGCTCATTCAATGCTCTTGCTGCCAAATGGTGTTTGCTTTCACTTTCAGAACTACCTGCCTACATAACAAATAAAAAGTATTGCTCCCTGTCGCTGCCACAGCTAGCAGCCCCATGCGAGGGGAGAGTGCCCTGTGAAAAAATTCACTAAGTAGCCCATGCGCCGCAAAGAACCATGGGATATACCACCGGAAATCCACCCCAGTGCATGGATGCACATACAAAGGTCGGGCACAGGTAGCCCTTTGCAGCGGGGTTGCCACGTGGCCTAAGCTAGCCCAGGCTGGGCAGAGAAGACTCACCCTTTAAGGCCAAGCTGGAACTGCTTCCCCTCTATTTCAGAGAGCGTAGGGTTTGTAGCTGATTGGGCGCAAATCCCTACAAAGGGGGTAGAAGTGGATGGACTCCATCGCCCTCTACTCTAGCTTGTGGAGCCAGAGAGAGGAAAGGGGAAGTGCCTGGCATCCCTGGAGGGGACGTCCCGGATTCATTTCCCACAGGGCAAAGGAGCTGCTTTGAGACACTTTTTGCTTCTTTAAGGTGGGAATCTGCCCAGTGCTCCCTGCGCTTCTGCAGGGCTGTGGCTACATGCTACAAATTAGCTTCCCCTGTTGATTCTGACCAACGAAGGGCCAAATTCCACCAGCCTTCCTCACAGAAGGCTAGACTGGGCCTGGCCAAGCAGGCTCACCTACCTTCCCAATCCCTTGCTCAGCCTACTTGGACCTACTGCAGAACACAGGCCTGGCTCTTTTCCTGCACACTGCTCCGATTTGCAGCTATTCACTGCCTCCTGTCCTGCCACTCCCTGAGTCACAATTCCATCCTTCGGGGGGGGGGAGGGGAAGGGGGATTCACTCCCGCGGTGCAGTTTGGCTCCATCAAACCCATTGAGCACAGCCTTATTCAGAGACGGCTCCCTACTGCTAAGTAGTGGAAGACTTAGTGTGGGGAAGGCTGTGAGAAGCTAGGTCTTCCTCACTGATGGCAATTAAAAACTAATTGCCACATTAACGCCAGTGTAAGTCATTTACAGTGAGCGTTAATTGCTCGGAGTGACTACATACTTCCTCCTATCACTTTCGGAAACCAAGCGACTCGAAGACACATATCTTTCTGCATGCAGAAAACGAGAATTCCCTCTCCCATCTCCCAGAAGCTCAGTGTGCTGATGGGTCTGGGCCTCCCCCAAAAAACACATTTCATATCTTACAGACAAGTCACTGGCTACAGCAGCATGGTCAAGCAGACAGAACTTGGCCTGGATTCCAATCAAACTTCCCCCACCACCCTGATGTGTGATCTATATCGCCAAGTCCTCTCCTACCCTGTAGTTGTCTATTTAGACAGTAAGATCTTTGAGGCATAGACGGCCATGTACTATGTATTGGACGGACGCACACACACACACACCCAGGAGCTACTGTAATACAACTATGTTGCTATGTCATAAAGTACATTTCTGTATCTATTGCAAATTAATTCTGCCTTTGCATCACCCCATCTCAAACAAGTTAAAACACTTCACAATCCTGAGCCTCATTAGTCAGCTTCATCAATGTAATCAGTAACCTTTTCCTTCCTATTCCCCATTCAGGCAAACTGATGGGTAACATGCTGAGACACTACACCCACATTATCTTTCTGTTCCGGTAAAGTTTTCTATCTCTAGCCTTTCATTCTGAAACCCAAAGAGCCTGTGCAGCAAATTAACATCCTTGTTTAAAAGGTCTTTCATTGGTGTATTAGCCAAAGATAAGATAAAATGGTTTTTAAAAATGGATTTTTTTCCCCCGGAGGCCCTTTTGTTATGTCTATCTGACAATCTTTAACCAGGTGTCCTAGTTATGAGGTTGATACTTTGGCTGGCTATCATTTAATTCAAGTTTGAGGGATAATCAAATAATTATGCAGTTTGACATAGAGAGGGACAGATCAGGGAAGTGGGAGGAATCAAACTGAAATGCGTCTTACATGACTATCTGCCGTGCGAGTTGTTACAAAGACGTACTTACTGTGGTCCAACTGACCTGCTGGCCCAGATCGGTAAAATACAGAGTAATAATGGAAGAAACTGCCAAGCTTTGAATGCTAACAGAATCCTTCAAATAGGGCCCATCTAGAATGACAAGCAAAAAGAAAAGGTTTGAAGGATACACCCCTTGCAGTGACTCAGCATAAAATGCAAGCCATACAGGTGCAAAGTGAAGTTACAATTCATGTTCCACCCCATGGATTGACCAGGATGTGGAAAAGATGGCACTTGTTTTTCTGAGTGATTTGGCATCTTTGGTGCTTCCTTTCTCGCCCTTAGAGCACACAGGCTTTGAGTTAGATTCAAGAGTGACAATGACACTGCATTGGGATGCAACACACAAGGGTTGTGATGCTGATGACTCATGCTCATTGATCTATAAGAGCCTTATGGGACAAAGTTGCACAAAGCCGTTTCCAAAGCCGGTTAAGACCACATCTTGGACAGTTAACAGAGAGGAACCATGTGAGATGATGTCGTAGTCTGTGAATACCTGAACTCTTTCGGGTCAACTGTTTCCTTTTTTCATGCTCAGTGATAATAGGTGATGGGGTGGAACAGCGGTGACTGGGAAGTGAGTTTTTGTTTGGACAATTTTCCATAACCCAACTTCTCTTGGGTCTTTGTCTAGTCTTGGACCTAGATAAGATCAGAAAATCCAACCTGTCTTGGGTGAATTTGGGTGCATTCAAATAGGTTGGCATGCCTGCTGTACAAATCCCGTATTTATCCACACAGGGGCAGCTAGGACAATGGAAGTGCATGTTCCCCATGTCCTTCAAAAACTATCTCAAGGAGAATAGTGATAGAAATGTAGCCGTGTTAGTCTGGTGTAGCTGAAACAAAAAACAGGACTATGTAGCACTTTAAAGACTAACAAGATGGTTTATTAGGTGATGAGCTTTCCTGGGCCAGACCTACTTCCTCAGATCAAATAGTGGAAGAAAATTGTCACAACCATATATACCAAAGGATACAATTAAAAAATGTATATCTTTTTCATGTGTGTTCATTTAAAAAAAAAATTAATTGTATCCTTTGGTATATATAGTTGTGACAATTTTCTTCCACTATTTGATCGGAGGAAGTGGGTCTGGCCCATGAAAGCTCATCACGTAATAAACCATCTTGTTAGTCTTTAAAGTGCTACATAGCCCTGTTTTTTGTTTTATCTAAAGGAGATAAACTATAGGGTGGTCTCTATGGCCTATTCAGTCCTTGTCTTTTCTCTTGAGGCTCCCAAGAAGGGGGATGACTGGTGTCAACAATGATAGTGGCAGCGGTTTTGCATGGCAATTTTCCACCGAAAACGGCCATCCTTTCCTAATATTAATATTAGCCATAATAGTGCCAACTGAGCTAGGGTAATATAAAAATCCTCAGACAGATTTCTTAACTGAGGGGAAAGCTAATTAGTTAGTCATACATATTAATTAGCAACAGCGCTTATGGCTTAGCCCATATGGTATGATAGTGTTATGAAGAAACACCAGCTAACAGACTCATACTACATTACTCATCCAAATAAATACTTACTGCGTTCTAGTCGCAGGCCAATACGGGAAGGGCACCACTGGGGATCTATTTAATTCAGAAAGAACTACATTTAATTTCATGGAGTAGCTTTTAAGCATCATTTCCTACTTGTAGCAACAGTATCTTGTTCAGATCCTAGCTAGAACCATGATACTATAAAACCGTCTACGGGTTTTAACTCCAAAAGTCAAATATAGTAGAAACATGCAATCAACATACAGTACTTATAGTTATGAGGAAACTGCTCACCCCCAAACGGTCTGGTTGACTTGGTTTGAATGCTAAGTGTGCAATCGACACATGAGTGATGCAGAGCGAGGTGTGAGGGAATGCCCAAGTCTAAGATCACAATTGCACCAAGATGCATATCTGTATGGAGTGGAAGAAGGCCAAACCATGGGATTTTTTTAGCCTTTTGCTTGATTTCCATATCGATCTTGCCCAACCTACAAGTAAAAAGTTGAGCTTTCAACCAGAGCCATCTCTTGGGTCAAATGAAACATTTCATCTGACCTGAACTGAATTGTTCTTCAACTGTTTGCTTCACTGAACATTCTAAAAATTTGTCATTTTCCATATCACCCTCCACATTTTTTTTAATCTTTCAAAACAGCCAAGAAATCAAACTCTGTGTTATTCACCCTGCTCCTGCCAAGCTTTGGACTGCAGAGCTGCAGGCATTAGCACACAGTCTCTGAAATATAAGAACAAAGCCCAGAATTCTTTTATATATTTTTTTTATGGTGAGACTAACTTTTGGGAGACCGTTCAGTACAGAGTAGGGACATTGATTAGACAAGGCATACTGATGACCCAGATCCACGTCAGCTTTGATCTCTGCAAACCAAAGAATTATCCACAAACTGTTGCTAGAAGCACAAGAAAAAAAACCTATTAAATAAGTACCAACTCATTTTTTCAAGGTAGCAGAACAGAGCACAGCTACTAGAGATATACGTTAAATAAAAAAGGTACATGAAGAAACAGCAGCTGCAAGAAGGATTGAGGTTGTGATTTGGGGCCTGAAATGTGATCGTCTGGTGTTAAGGCTGTGCTAAAAGCAGCACATTATTATTTAACACAACATGGTTTTAACTCCGTCTTCTCCATGTAGAAAGATTGTTGGCTTCATATCCAAGTTAAGCCAATCTCTGTTGACGGTGCTGCTCTGTGTCTCCCGGGTTCCACAAGGAAGAGCTGTGTGTGGCCTCTGTGTAAAATTCACAAGCTGTAGAATATTGCTGGGCTTGAGATGTGACAAACTAGACTTGTCATTGCTTAGGTTTTCACTGGGTGTTTGGGGCAGTGCGCCATCTCGGGCCCAGGCTCCATAGTTAGCTTGCAAGTGCTGTCATATTGCAGGGATTCCTGAGCTGGATATATAGAGAGATATATATTGCTCATTAGTCAGCAAACCAACATAAGGCAATACCATTTCAAATTGGTATCGGTGAGGACCTCTGAGAAGAACTGGTTGCGGAGGACAAACAGCATTGAACTAAAACAGATCTTCTTGGAAGCAGCCAATCTTTATTGTGAAAATGCCAATGATGGAGAAATCCAGTAAGACTGACGGTGTCATCTGAGGCATAGAACACTAGGACTGGAAGGGACCTTGAGAGGTCATCAAGTCCAGTCTCTTGCCCTCATGGCAGGACCCAGTACTGTCTGGGCCATCCCTAATAGACATTTATCTAACCTACTGTTAAATATCTCCAAAGATGAAGATTCCACTACCCCTCCAAGCAACTTATTCCAGTGTTTAACCACCCTGACAATTAGGAAGTGTTTCCCTAATGTCCAACCTCCCTTGCTGCAGTTTAAGTCCATTACTTCTTGTTCTATCTTCAGAGGCCAAGAACAACAAATTTTCTCCCTCCTCGGGATACCCTTTTAGATACCTGAAAACTGCTATCATGTCCCCTCTCAGTCTTCACTTTTCCAAACTAAACAAACCCAGTTCTTTCGGTCTTCCTTCATAGCTCATGTTCTCTAGACCTTTAATCATTCTTGTTGCTCTTCTCTGGACCCTCTCCAATTTCTCCACATCTTTCTTGAAATGTGGTGCCCAGAACTGGACACAATACTCCAACTCAGGCCTAATCAGCGCAGAGTAGAGCAGAAGGGTGACTTCTCGTGTCCTGCTCACAATATACCTGTTAATGCATCCCAAAATCATGTTTGTTTTTTTTGCAACAGCGTCACACTGTTGACTCCTATTTAGCTTGTGGTCTACTATGACCCCTAGAACCGTGTCTGCAGAACTCCTTCCTAGACAGTCGCTTCCCATTCTGTATGTGTGAGACTGATTGTATCTTCCTAAGTGAAGCACTTTGCATTTGTCCTTATTAAACTTCACCTTTTTACCTCAGACCATTTCTCCAATTTGTCCAGATCTCTTTGTGAAGAAGTGGGTTGTGCCCACGAAAGCTTATGATCCCATCTACATGTTTTGTTAATCTTTAAGGTGCTCCTAGACTATTGCTTGATTTTTAAATTTCTCCCAGCGTTCAACATTTACAACTTTAATGCAATCTCAGACTAAATGTGTCTAACTTCATTTTCCAGCCATTGAATCTTGTTATAAATCTCTGTGCTTGTTTGAAGTGTTCTATATTTATCACATTTGTTTTCCAGACGTAGGTGCTTCTCAGTGAATCAAGGCGCTCCTGAATCTTCTCTTTGTTAAGCTAAATAGATTGAGCGCCGTCAGTCTATCACTACCCTGCACACTCAGCAAGCCTCCAATCAGCCTCATATTTATTTGTACTGCAGCAAAGCCTCAGAGCCACCGTCACAGAGCAAAACCTCATTGCACGGGGCTCTGGAAAGCACCAGCACATGAATCAAAACACCACACTGGTCGAACAGAATGACAAAAGGAGCCAAGTTATTCGAGCTGCTCATGAGTTAGTTCTTTGCCAAGGAAAATTTGGCATGAACCTTCAACATTTTGTTTTTTACATTCTTCAGGTTTCCATGAGGAAAAGGATTTTTTACCCTCCAAAACATTTCAGTCACAATTTCTGTTCTATCAAAAAGTCTTTTCCCAAATAAACCCACAAACCCACTCACAGGGGGAGCAAAGAGGACCACTGCTCCCAGCCCTTTAAATCACCTCCAGAGCCTCACGTAGCATGTTCCAACAGCACTGAGGTCTGCAGGGGGAAGAATTATAGCACATCATGCTCTGGGAGGTGCTGACACCTGGTTGCCCCAACCCTGCCCTTTCCATCTGAGACCCTTCCCCTTCTACCTGAGGCCTTGCCCCTTCCGGGAGAACGGAACTGGTGCCCCCAACTTATCCTGGGGCCTGGCTAGTCACCCCCAACTTACCTTATTGGCCTTTCTTCCTGTGCACGCACAGATGCACATGCACACACACACACATGCACACAGAATGTCGAGCTGAAAAATCCTGACTAGCACAAAACATAACAATGCAGAAGCCTTTACAAAGATTCATTAATTGCAAGATGAGGAATACATTTCCTGAATAGTAGGAATATTGGTCTTATTTGGTTACTGAAATGTTCCCAGATATGACAGACACGGAGGAATGCATGTTTTGTCAAGGAGGTAGCGAACACAGCGAGATTTTCCCAAACTTATGAGTACACTCCAGCCAAATAAGTAGCTTTATTTTGACTCTCAGCCACATGGCTTTTGGGATAATGATTTTTACTCCCACCTCCCTGACTTTTGGAGGTATCTCAGAGTGACTGCCATTGCTGCTGTGCGTGTTGAGCTCCTGCCACCCACCGACATGTTGCTAATCATCACGTAAACATTCCCATTTGCAGGTTTGCTTGCTTTGTCCTTCTCTACTTTGCCTGCCTGGGGCTGTCTCCGGCTGTGTCAACACTGCACTTATTAATATGCCGCAAAATGTACTTAGCTTCGATGTGGTAGATACTTTTTCCCCGCTCTGTGGAGCTGAAGAGTTTGTCCATTCCACCACCAGTTGTTCCAATAAACAATATTACCTCATCTACCTAGTCTCTGCCTAACGGAGCAGACACCCATGCATAAGAAAAATCACTCCCAACTGACAACATCAAGAACCGTGGATCCTGCACATGCCTATCAGCAAACAGGGTGCCCCTCATCCAGCCACTTCCAATGATCCACAACAATTACGGAGGTGAAATCAGACAATCATGATGCTCACCGATCAATGGTGAAAGATGAACACACCATATCACTCCCTAATTTCACAAAATAATCGCTGCATATCTGACCTCCCGTGCTCACAACAAGCCTCCAGAATCCCTTCAAAGGATGACCTTGGGAACTCAGATTCAGAGCTCCGATGGCCACTAAAAAACACAGAGATTCTCTGTTTATTATAATGATTTGTCACACAACTGACTGCCTATCCTGTAATTGCAGCTACGGTTGTGTCAACACTCTGCACTTACTAATATGCCCCAAAGTGAACTTAGCTTAGATGCGGGAGATACCTTTTCCCACTTCATGGAGCTGGAGAGTTTGTCCATTCCACCCCCAGTTGTTCCAATAAACGATATTACCTCACCTACCTAGTCTCTAACAGCAACAAACATTTAATGGGGCTGTGGTGATGACAGGCAAACACACACCTCGTTCATCAAAGTCTGGACAGATCTAATTTCCGAGCAGATAGAAAATAGCAAGAAGGCTAAGATGTATCCAGAGGGAGTCTGTTAGGCCATGTCTACACAAGACAAGACAATTATTTAAAATTCATGAAGTTCGACTTCTGGGCACCAGATTTTATAAATTCGAAGTCCCCTGTCCTCACTATGGGAAAGAATCAAACGTCATCCATGGTAGCACATCCACATTAATGGCTCCACGGCCCCTTATTCCAGAACAACAGGCATGCTAGTGTGGATGCATTGCTTACAAAATTGACCTGGGTGGGGCTAATTTTGGACTAAAGTCCTAGTGTAGACCAGGCCTTATATCAAAAGGTACCATACCTTCCTGGCAGTACAAAGTTATTGACTCTTGTTTTTGTGTGCTTTTGGATTAAAAATGCCAAGAAATGAGTCAGCATCATA